AAAGCATGACAGCTTACTAACCGACTAAACAACTAACCAACGAGGTGGACGTTTGCACCGAGCATCTCCACACAGGAGTCCAGTTTGTCACCTGCCTTATCATCTAAACCACATCAAGGAAAGGAGAAGACAGCCTGTTAGCCATGGAGGGAAACGTACAGCAGCAGCAGAAAACGACTCCTTTAGCTCGGGAACTGACGAGGATATTTAACAACTACAACAAGCACTCCATCCAGCTGAAGAAGAACCTGAAGGAGACTCACGCTTTCTTCCGGGAAATTAAGCAAAACTACAGCAACGCCTGTGCATCCACCATAAGCCTGGACTCTCTGGAGGCAGGTAGGTTTGAACACACGCTGCAACAACATCCCTGTGATGCCCTTAAATGCCACTCTGGCTAACCCTGTTCACAGCATCTAATATGATTGCCAAAATAATCCCATCTATAGACACTTCTGTATCCTGAAGGAGGAAAACAAGCAAAAAGAACTAACAAGTTGCTGCTGCCAAGTGATTACTCCACCAACACGCAGCCTGAAAAAATCCATTCATTAGGGTCACAGAAAACTAAAGAGATTAAACCCCCTCTGAAAAGCATGAGCAGACTAAGTGCACCAAATATGCTGAGATTTCTGCACCCACCAGCCGGGCCAGTGCCTTGGATCTTGTCTTTTGCATGAGCTGAGCCTTGTGTCTCTGTGGCTCCTGCTTTTAGACCGTGGACACATTTTGATTGAGACTGGTTCATGAAATGTTTATGTGCACAACCTTTTATGGGTTTTGTGAGATGATTCAGATACCGCCTTCTATGAAACATTGATTAAACACGCTGGAGTGATGGTATGCTGCGATGGCTCACATCTTCAGAAAGGCCTGCTTGATCTGAGGTGGTGTCCTGCACGCTAAGAAAGCTAAAATCATTTACCTCAGCGGTGAATCAACAATGTTAAGCTAAAGAGCAGCTGTAAAATCGTACCTTAGCACATCTATTCACCTACGAACTCGATTCATCCAGTAAATGTCTTGTTCTCTGGACAAAAATGGGTTTAGGAGGTTGTGATGGTGTCGTATTGGCTATACACAGATCTGCACATTTCTGTCTGGAGCTACAGGCTTTAAGTACGTCACGTTAGGTCAAGTGTTGAGGTCAGGAGAGGAATGGCGGGTTAAGGGTTTCAATAAAACCATGTTAATGTGGCAAAGACATGCAGTGGTGTTTGAATGTGAAGTAGGCCTTTGCTGCTCAGCCCTCTCTTTGTTATATAACTCTTTTAGACTGTGACTCAGCAACACCAAGGATTATGTCTGATACCCGCAATAATAAGAGTGAATTGGTTCTTCGCTTTGTGCTCCACATTTTAGGGCTGGATCTTGAAATATTAACCCAAACGCTATCAGATACCAAATGACTGAACATCTTTAGTGTAGAACAGTAACTGACTGCATATTCTGAGAATGACAGTCGTATAGAATAGAATAGAATAGAATAAAACTTTATTGATATAGTATACAGAGGACAGCGTATCCTGTCCGTGCTTACAGTGCTCACCAAGAGTTCCTACAAAACTCACTATTTTTAATTGGTTTTAGAAGTACAAGTTCTGTTCTCAGTCCACCTAACAGAGTCTTGCACCACTTTCTGTCCCCTCCATTCGCACAGGCCAGCTTAGCTGCATCTCTTTTCCTGCTCATGAAGAAGAGTTCCTCCGCAACACCGTGGGTGCTGCTCCGTACATCCTGGTGCTGGGTCAGGACTGCGCTGCCCGCTACCAGCTGCTCAACTGCCTCCTGGGGGAGAGGCTGCTGCCACTGGGCCCTGAGGCTGGAGAGGCTTGTGAAGGAGTCCAGGGCACTGTGTGCAAGAGGCGGAAGCTGTGTTTCACCCATGGGAGGCAGACACGGCTGAGCTTGGCACTGCCTGGCCAGTATGAGCTTGTGCACCAGTTGGCGGCTAACCGCGGCCGCTGGGATACAGTTCCCAGGGAGGACCTGGAGATCCACGAGGAATGTGAGGACCCAGCACACAGGCTAGCGGAGCTGGAGATCACACTGCATCATCCACTGCTTCAGGTAGGCCCCGGATACGGTTCTGAATCTGCTCTGTCAGTACCACATATGGTTTAAATTAGGAGTTTGACACATCCTGTTTTCTGTGGTAGTCGTCCTCGGTGCCATTCATTTGTTTGTTCTTCATAAACTTTGACTCCGTTGTTCAAAGGACTGAGGTGAATTCTTTCAGGTGAAACGTAGGCCTGTACGTGGTCCTCCATTTGGTCTGAATGTGGAAATACTTTAAGAAAAAATTACATGTTTATTTAAAAAAAAAAGTCATACTGTGATAATGCTTTACTCATTTTAGTGTTTTTCAAAACAAAAAAATAGTGAAAAAAAATAGAAATAGTCTTTGATTACAACTTATGAAATTAAATAATTTACTGCTCTCATTTATTATTTTAAATGAAATATTTTGGAATTTAAAAAAGAAAAACAGATCAAGACACAGGAAGGTGTCACATTTGGCTCTGGCACGGTGTAAGAGGCATTTTTCCTGTTTTTCCATTTCATTAAACTAAACAATTAAATCAGGAAAATAATCAATATATTGATAAACATTAAATAAATTAACTATAATAGCACCCTTGGTAATGTTTAATGAAAGTATTCTCTTGTCTTATAAGAGCTTTTATTTTGCCAACGTTGTGATATTGAGCTACTTTGTTTTAGATTTATTAGTTTTTATGTTTAAAAAAAAAAAAAAAAAGTTGGCATCTAATTTTGCTAATTTAAGTCACGGTGTGCTGGACAGTGAAATGAATCAAAAGTCCTTTGAGGATTTCATATGGAGCCGCTTTAATTCTGTGTTTATATTTTGTGGGATGGCATTTCCTCCTGTAGAAAAAAAAAAGATGGAAATATTTGTTCTTTTCATCGTTGTCTCTCGCTTGAACTCGCCTTTGCTCACGTGGCTGAGCTCACAAACAGATTACTGAGCAGAGCTGATTATTTGCTGTGTTGTTCAGTGTTTTGCTTTGTGCTACTGTTCAGGGATACGCTCTTTTACAGTCATGTTGAGCTGCTGAGCTGCTGAAGTTACGTGGACACAGGAAGAAATGTTGGGACACGTTGTTGTGGTCGTGCCGGTCTTCAGCCAGTGTGACCTGAAAATTTCAGTATCTTGTTGGAGTGAAATGATTCAGCATGGTGTCGAGATTGTAGTCACTCCTTGTCATGTGTGACACAAGGAAATTAGTCTGTAATCGTTTGGACCGAGGCCCCTCAGCGAGCATCACACAGCCTCAGAAACTAGGCCTAGTTATGCCTCAGCGCAGCCCACCCGCCCAGCCCCCTTACGTAATGCCGCTGGTCTGGTGCGATTCACATGACTAGGTCATGTAAAAAAAAAAGTCCCAAACCCTTTGCTGTGATAAAATTACCCTGGTTACCGCTTAACTCTGGGACACTGATTGTTCATGTCGCCTCCAAAAGTACTTAAAAAAAACCCATTTACACAGATGCTTTGATTTGCATTTTCAAAGTATGTCTTTGTGACAGAAGGACTCCCAACACTGAGAGTCGAGGCTCATTCATTTTGTAGAATAACTTAATCAGAGTTATTTTTTGATAGATTTAAGTTTGAATGCTTTTGTCATTGCTGTTTAAAGATCCACCAGAACCTCTGAAGTGAAACAGACAGCCCCTGGAGGGGAAAAACAGCACTAACAAAGGCTATTACTCCTCTATTCATTTCCACGTATGCCTGAAAGGCGTCGGATCTCCAGTCGCTTTTTGGTTCAGAACCTCTGTGACTCCAGACCTTCAGAGGTTATTATTTGTAATGATACAAATCTGATCATAGATTAAAGACACAAGGACCAGCGTGATCTTGCATTGCTTGTACATGAAGTCTCTCTTTTAACTGGACTTAATAAAATGAAATCTTCTTTCATTAGCCAGGCAATAGACATGGCTTTGTCACAAACTAAAGCGGTGTGTGCCGCCGTGCTTTATGTCCCTGCTGAATGAATAAGAGATTACCGTGTTTGCTTAGGGGTAAATGAAGGCACAGAATCTCTCTGCTCGCTGTGGTATTCACACACTCCTGCCATAGTCACAGCAGCCTGCTTCAGAGGCCAGCAGATGAGAACCAACTTGCTAATTAGCCTTTTTTTTTTCCAACCTGGAGTTTACTGTTGCCTCCCACCTCCACTTAACACACAGTCTAACAGCGAGGACGTAAAGGGTGCTAACCTGCCACCATGTTTCTAAAATGCTTTTGACCTACATATGCTGCTGTGTTTATTGCTGGAGCTCCACAGGTTCCCATGAGACAGGCTGCTTCTTAACAAAGGACTGTGATATTAGCAGTCACCCTTAAAATATGCTAATAGAAGACAATCTCTGACATTTGTGTTCAGCGCGTTGCTTGTAGAAGTTGGTCAGACTCAAACGGCTGCTTTTTGAAGACGTGAAAAACAAAACTTCAAAATATCTCTCAGACATTCTGTCGAAGGGTTGTTGTTGAAAACCGGCTGCATTAAGGCAACTCAAACATTGTATTGATTTTGATTGGTTGTGAACAAATGTTTGCAGGCTATCTTTGTTCCAGAGAGCCTGCTCAGACGGGCTCGCCTCTTGTTACTTGGAGACAGGACTGACTGTCTCCTTTGTCTAGCTGTTGGTCATTTCTGCCTCTTTTTTTCTAGCTGTCGTTTCCCCGTCGTGGTCTCCCTCTCAAGCTCCCCGAGAGTCTATTTTTGTTAAGGTTGTTATATATTAAAGGTTAAGAAAACCTTTCTGCTCGTGTAATTTTTCTTCCCTGTCGCAGACATTCCCAAGACTGCCGCAAATATTAATGTGTTATTCTGTGTTCAGAAATAGAGGGAGCATGTGATGTGTGTGGATATGTTTTCTTCCTTTGCAGTGAAATCCTTTCCACATCTCGTGGCATGAATTTGTTTAAAAAATGTTCCTCAAACACTTTGTACAGCAGGAGACGTAGTTTGCTGTGAGGGAATGGTCATCTGCAGGTTAAAGGGCCGATTCTTTTAAACATGCAGACAAAACACAAACCTCGTTTATATTTTGTGCTGTTGATAGAAACAGCTGAGTTGTCCAAAGCGAGTTCTCTGCATGACTCAGACCAACATTTTACTCTTGTTTTTTTTTAAACCTGAAGTATCTAAATGCAGAAACAAGGCATGACCACCCTCTGAACCCCCAATCAGTTTCTGGGCATTTATTCAACAAACGTTACATTTCTTCTCAAGTTCCAAGATTAAAAAACAAAAAACAAAATATGGAATTCCAGTTACCAATACAGGAAAGAACTGATCTGAAAAAATTGGTATTGTCATGTGACTGTCACAGTTGGGTCTCCAATGGCCTCACAGTTGCACCAAGGAGCGCAGAATTTCTGTTTTTTGATAAGGGCTGCAAGGTGGTTCGGTGGTTAGCACCGTCGCCTCGCAGCCAGAAGATCGCCGGTTTGCGTCCCGGTGAGGACACCTGTGGAGTCTCCATGTTCTCCCCGTGCAGCGTGGGTTCTCTCCGGGTTCTCCGGCTTCCTCCCACAGTCCAGAAACATTCTGAGGTTAATTGGTGATTGTAAATTGTCCGTAGGTGTGAATGTGAGTGTGCTTGGTTGTCTGTCTCTAAGTGTAGCCCTGTGATAGACTGGTTACCTGTCCAGGTGAACCTGCCTTCACCCTGAGTTAGCTGGGATAGACTCCGCCCCCCATGACCTTAGTGAGGATTAAGGTGTAGAGATGATGGATGTTCTTTGATAACGGTTAAATCTTGGCAAATTTTTTAATGAGACACGTTCTGTGATTTTGATGAGGCGTCACATATTTAGTTGGATCGAAATGTCTTGTCACAGGTGAGTTGTTCAAGGACCATCGGAAAGTTGGAAGTGTCTTAGCTCCCTGTTCCACTGCTGGGTCGGACAGAACATTTGAACACTTTTGAATTCTCTAAAAGGTTGTGAATGGCAACCTGAAATCTACAGACTGAGGCGACAAGGGAACCGGCTTACAAGTCGTTGTGTGATGAGACAAGAACCAAAAGAAATATTCTGTGCGGGGAAATAACCACGAGCGTACAGTTCCTGTAAGAGACTCGTTCCCTGCCAACAAATCCCCACATCCTCGTCATCTGTCTTTGGTTTGGTGCTGCTCAGGTGGTGAACAGCGGGTTTATCACAGCTGTTTTTTTCTCGTCATCGCTGCCCGCTATGGCCGAAACTGTACTGATGAGAACAGTTAGAGGAACAGAAGCCGTAAATGTGTGACCCATTAAACCACAACAGTGATCTGAAAGATGTTTGAATGCTCCACAGAGCTGCAGAGTCAAGAAATGCTATTTTCTCCCAATGACGTCTTTGACATGACAAATAGTGATCTGATTTATTGTCACTGTAAATTCTAATAATTAACGAGGCTTTAATTTTAATTTACCTCTGTTATTTGTTGCCTGGTGACAGAATTAAAGCAAATCTTTTACAAATAGACCCAGTGGCGACCTCTCAGCTGTGTCTTTATGGCTGGATTTCACTTGCAGTAGTAAATACGTTTTTGTTTCATTCAAAAAATAATTTGTCGTAATACACATCAGCCTGAAATACGTGTAACATTCTTGTGGTCTGTTTGTGGTTTAATCCTCAGGAAGCGAAGGTCATGGTGGTGCCTTGCCCAAGTGTCCAGCCGACAGAGGAGGCCTTGGAAGACTGCACTCGCAACGTGATCCCTGTCATACTCTACGCCATCAACCAGGACTCCCTAAGCACAGAACAGGTGGCTGAGCTCTGGAAGGTTAAAGAGATGCTCTCCTTTCCCATCTGTTTTGTTCGTATCCCTGACACCATGCCAGCAGCCTCCCCAGAACCCGGCCGCCGTGCAGAGAAGGAGAAGGAGAGGGAGAAGAGCGCCCTCCATAAGCAGCTGCTCTCCCTCGGCTTCCTAAACAGTCCGACAGGAAACTGTTCCTGCGGTGCCCCTACGCAGATGCCCACCCCGGGCGCCAAACCCCAGAGCATGCTGGGCGAAGCTTTTGAAAGACTGCATCGGCTGCTGGTGCCATTTACTCGCCAAGTGCTTCAGAACCAGCAGGTGGAGGCTGCCAACCTGCTCAACGGGCTTCACTGTCGATGTCTAGATCTTTTCATTAATCAGGTCAGAGGATGCTGTTTCCCAGCACCATTCATCTCAGTGTATATCTGCACGTATAGGTTTACTGCTTCATACTCATGGGAATGTTGTTTCTGCCGCTACATGAACTGTTTGGTCTCAGCGTGTTATGACCCTGTATGCTCCAGAAAAAACACCAACAGACCTTTGTCCTCCCCGCTCCGCTTCCCCGCAGGCCTTTGACATGCAGAGGGACTTGCAGATAACACCCCGCAGGCTGGAGTACACCCGTGAGAAAGAGGCTGAACTCTTCACCTCTCTTATGGCCATCGCTAATCGCAAACAGGAAGAGATGAAGGAGATGATTGTGGAAACACTCAGCAGCATGAAAGAGCAGTTGCTGGAAGATGCTGCCAACCTGGAGTTTACAGGTTAGTAAGCAAGCACCCTGGACAGATGCCACACGGCAGGGGCAGGGTTTTCCTTCTCTGGTTTATCAAGAGTTTTGGTGATATCAAGGCAGCTGTTATCTCTACCACTTTGCGAGTGATGGAATGCACGTAACGTCGGCAGAGTAGTAAGGACAGAGGAGATTTGTACATCAGAAGAAGCTTGTTTATATCACAACAGAGGTTTAGATTTCTGCAAGTCAAGTCTGGCCAGATAGTACCTAAAAGAAACAAAGAAGGGGAAGTAAAACTAATACTTCACACTTGAGAAAATATCACCGCAAGGCTCAGTGGAGCACAAAACCAGTATTGCCTGAACTGTGCCCTGCCTACACTACATTAGTACATTTCATTTGTAATTGTAATTTAAAGGTATTTAACTCGATGTTTTGACATTTTACTGCGGCGTGTGGTCTGCAAAGATGTTTTTTTGATTTCTGTGACATTGACACTGGTGCTGTCAAACCTTTTAAAATATTAAAAGAGCTTTTGATGTGTTAATCACATCCAGAGGTAGAACAATACATGGTTTTGCCAGTGAGAACAATCAAACTTTTTCTTCACACATTTTTCAGACCTGACAAACTATTAAATGTATTCATTCATAAGGTCAGAGTCTTTGACCACAGATGGCCATACAGGGTTTGCATTCAGCGCAGCAGTGGACGGACTGTACCGTGAAAACGTTGACTTTCTCTTCAGACAAAAGCCACATTCACAGTTCAAGGATGTCATTGCAAATTTTGTGTTAAATTGAGCCCCTGTTTGATGAGATTATGTCATTTCTTATTCCACCAGATTTATTTTTGACTCCTTAGATATACACAATTATAACCGAAGAACCTTTCAGTATGGAGGCTGTTATGGATATTAAATTAGGAGGATGTTCTGCTTTTACAAATTTTGTTTTAGATTATAGGACGTAGAAAGTTCGCCGTTAGATCCCATCGAATTGGACTCTGATTTCACAGTTGACACTCAAGAACAACCAAATGTGTGCTTTATTTATTTTGCTCGTACATCCTCAAGTTATTCAGGAAAACAGGAAAAGCTTTTCTCTTCGTTATGTTTCCATTAGAGTAGACTGACACCCAGACTGAAGCCTGCTCAGACTGTTTTTGTCTCGTTTTGCTTAGATCGGTGACATGAAGCAGACAGCTGACTTGTCTTCGCTGGCCAGGAGTTTGGCGTTTGCAGCCTTCATTACTCAAAGCCTGTTTCTGTACTGTCTTTAGACTCTGTTTAGATTGAAGGGACATGGCTGAGCCAGCTGTATTTCGCAAGCTGCCTTCAACATTTGGCACTGTGTGACTCAATAGTTCCAAGCAGCTGAGGGGAAAAAAAACAACTTTCACTGGCTATTGTCTTCTGCTTCCTTTTGGTTAATCCTTGTGGACATGTTGAAGGACAACATTTTCTGGGTTGAAGAGTAATATCCAACACAGGTGCTGTTACATTGCTATATGGTTTTTCTTTAAACCCCGTCCTACACAAACAGGCCCTTTGCCACCAAAACATGAAACTAGTTTTAACAGAAAGGCATCAAGACACTCTGTGGTCTTTGTTTTTCTCAGTTTTCATTTAGTGTTTCTCATCAGAATTTCTGTTTGTACCTCAGAGGTCATAAAACCCATGTTTACATCCCAGCAGTTCTCTTTTTCTCCATCTTTACTGGCACATTCGTGTATCTCGGTGACTTCCTGGCACTATGTACATCTGCTTCCTTATGCGGGAGCACAACAACAACAACCCTCAGAACTGAGACTCACTTGTAAAACCGTTGCTCAAAAGATATACCAGTAGCTGAAAAGTACAGACAATGCCGGTCTGTCGATGGAGTCGGCTCGATTTTACTTTCTTTACAACATACAGCTCCTTGTTTCGGATTGGGAAGCTTCACATGCAGCGTGGATGTTTTTGATATTCGAACTGCATTGAACGTTGTTGTTAGGTCAGCCGTTCACAAACTGTGGGGGGGAAAAAAAGGAGAGGAGCTAAGAGGACTGAATGTGATGTATTGATATTTTAATCTGATTTCACTAATGATCAGTGTAAAGTTGCTTTATTTACTCCAGAATAATACTAGCGGTACATTTGCACCTTACCACATCTACCTGCTGCCTGTGTTCTTAGATAACATGTTTTGCAAAGCACAGTTGCTATCATCTTAATGTAGTGATGGAGAGATAATGAGCATTTAGGTGTGTTATCAGTGCTGGTTATTTAAAATGTTCTTCAGTAAACACCTCTTCAAACAAGATAAACAGAGTACTAGTGGTATAGAACCCCTCCAGAGGCAGTTTATGGACAAACATGTGCCAAGTCTCTTAAAACAAAGCGTCATTAACTTGATGAACTATTTTCTCTCCCCTGCAGATATCATTGTAACAACTAACGGAGAGCCTGTTACGTCCAAGGAGATCAAATCCTGCATCCACCAGATACAGGAGCTCATCGTGGTCCGTCTGAACCAGGCTGTGGCCAACAAGCTGATCAGCTCTGTGGACTATCTGAGGGAGAGCTTCGTAGGAACCCTGGAGCGATGCCTCAACAGTCTGGAGAAGTCCAACTTGGATTCCTCTGTTCACAACATTACGTCGAATCACCTCAAACAGGTGGGCAGCAGTTAGTGAAAAAGAGAAAACCTGTTCAGTGCAAACATGCTGTAAATGTCAATAGTCTAATATCTGTAAAAATGTCATGTGTGAGCTGCTGGATTTTATTTAAACTGGAGGGTAAAACGGTAGAAACAATGGTTGTTAATTTTATATGTGTAGAGGTTTTTTGTTTATATTTTAAATGCAGTTTAGGGACTGATTGAATTGTGTGATACAGTGGAATAGCAGTGGAATAGCAGTGGTATAGCGCTACAGGCCCGTGTACTGACCCACACAGCCTTTGAACGCTGATGGTGGATGCACACGTGGTCACATTCATGTTACAGTAGATGTACTACAGGGTAGACTTAGACTTTATTGTCCTCAGGGGGAAATTCTTTTCCACAGACCAGCCCTTGACTTCCATCTCATAACATGACAATACAAACTACACAGAATCCCACATGAGGGTACACAGACAGAATAACATTTCAACACAAAGTACAACATGAAATAGTATGAAAGACATGACAATGTAGTACAGGGATGCTCCGCGGGGAACCTGCTGGTTTATGCAAACAGTCGCATTAAAAAGCCCACAGAGCTCCCGTGGATGTTTCTACAAGGCTTGTTGTTTTTTTACAGTCACAGAATGAGCTGCAGCTCCTTGTCAGTGATTATTCCTGATCTGTAACAAGCACTAAAAACCTACTGCTTTCCACTCCAAGCACAGTGGATGGATTTCTATATGTCCAGAGAATTCAGACTTTGTATTTGGACAACAGTGATGGAAGACCCTACTTACATTACAGCTATTATTGGGGAATTGTAAAGGTGCTGATGAAGAGGAACCTCTTCGCACAAGCTGTCCTCAAAACAAGCTTTGAGTGTTAGAGGTGTTCAAATTTCCATCAAATGAGCCCTGCTGGGGAAAGATCAAATTGGCCTTCCTACAGCACGCTTCTTTTCTTTATTATTCATTTGTAAGAAAAAAAATCAAAACAAAAACTTCAAATGGAGTCAGATGAACACACAACAGAGTGGAGGAACAGGATGGTTTTCTCGGTCGTCACAGGCCTCCAGACTGATAGCACTGTTCACCGTTGTCTCGAACGGTGTGTTTTTCTGCATCTTTACTTCATTTTCTTTGCTGCCACAGTTATTGAATGCTGCCTATCACGTGGAAGTCACCTTTCATTCAGGATCCTCTGTCACCAGACTGGTGTGGGAGCAAATCAAACAGGTCAGTCTCTCAAAACATCCATCACAGGCGTTGTGAAAATACACAGAGATGGATGACTTCTGAAAAGTTAAAACGTATTCTCCTCCTCTTCTCGACTCCCTCGCAGATAATCCACAGGATAACGTTTGTGAATCCTCCTGCCATCACTCCAGAGTGGAAGCGTAAAGTAGCCCAGGATGCCATAGAGAGTCTCAGCGCCGCTAAACTGGCCCGAAGCATCTGCTCTCAGTTCAGAACCCGGCTTAACAGCTCCCACGAGGCCTTTGCAGCATCTCTGCGCCAGGTTAGCGTCTTCTCTTTTTACTGCCTCTTTTTTATTTTAACTCTTGACGTTCACTTTCACTTGTGCTCTTTGTGATTCATTCATCTCAAAGTCATTCTTGCTACCTTCAAACCACTCTTGGTTGTAAAGAGACGCTCTGATTACAGAGGCTTCAACAGGACTTTCACTCTAAGCTGCTGACAGACATATTTGTATTGATCATTTCTAACCTACTCCTCCTCCACCGTTAAGTTAGTGAACCTATAAATCGAGAGACCAACTGTAGGGGTAGGAACTCTGTAGGGCTTTTAAAATGGTGAATACAGCAGTGTTTAGGTTGTTTGGGCAGGATTGGCGAACACATTTGTCTGATTTGTTTTGACTTTTTCATGCATAGAGGAAATGATCTTAACTCCCACCAGGTAACATCTAACATAAAGCCTTGGTTCTTTAGCATCAGCAGCTGTTGTGAGCTTTGGTGTTTTCTCACACACACTGAAGGAGGAAGCTCAGGGAATATCCAGTTGCATTGATTTCCTGCTGATTCACCCGAATGGTTCGAAAGCCTCGGCAGCTACTGTATCAGCGGTATGTGGGAGCGCTGTGGGCTTTTAATTGCACAGCTCGTGGTTCAGCGATTTATTACTCTTTTATTGCTTTGCCTTCTAACCCCCACGATACAAATGGTGGCAATGTCCCTCCCTGGAAGTCCCTGACGAATCGGTTTCAATCAAAATGCCCCTGATGATATTTATCACATGACGGACTGCGTGGGCCACATCACTGACGACATTTTCATGCTCACTAGTTCTTTACTGTTGATGCAATTACAGAAATACAGTGACGGTTTTAAAGAGGGGGTTATTCTGGGGGATGCTTTTTAGTGTTTTTTTTTTGGCTTTATCTCACTGACTGATTAAGTGCAAACAAGTCAACCGAAGATGATACATCAGTCACATTCCTGTTGTTATAGCAAGTAGGGCATCGATGAACAACAGAGATTAAAACCGTGTCTTGCAGTATGTTGGTCTGTGACATTTAGAAAAGCAAATGTAAAGTGTACTTTAAAGTATGGGGGGGCGGGCAGAAGAAGGTTTCTCTGTGTACTCAGCACTGTATGTGAGCCCCCCAGGTCGTGACAATGTGATGCTAACAGCCCGACAGTGAGCGGTGAGAGGACTGTTGGTGGTCTCCAACATCTCCAGACCCTGGTTGAGAGATGCTGCATGTGAGGGATGCTGCTTTCGGATGAGAGCGGATCATGCACAGCGTTCATAGTTTTAGTTGTGCATTTTCAGATAAATAGACAAACACTTACTTGACCACCGAATTGCGTTTTTTACATCAAGACCAGGCAGTTATTTCACAGTAGCTCATGCCTTTTTGACAACCTTTAGATCTTTTTCCTTTAATTACATTAAATGAATTATTTACATCCACTGGAGAGTCTAGTCTACCTTTAGTTGAGGGTCATTGCTTGCCAAGCTGCCTTGTGTTTGGAATATGAACACATTCTGCATACTTAGTTGAGCAAATACCTCATTTCAAGTTATTAACATACAATAGTTTAAGTGACAGTAGTTTGCTACTTTGGTAGTCGTGCCCGATAGAAAGTGAACATACAAGAGAACACGATGTTCAACCCTCTCGTTAAAAAAAACAGATCAACGAGCAGCTCTGTGCTGCAACAGGACGGATCGTAGAGCTCAAAAACATTCTATTTGCACTTTTGGTACAATAGAGAAATGTTTGCCAGTCATTTATTTTTATGCTGCTTTCATTTGCTAAAGATGAAGAGTTTCATTGTTGATTGTTGTTGTGCTTTCTGATTGGTTCAAATGTACAACAAGCTGCTTCTGCTTCTCAGTTAATTGGTTGAAGCTGTTGAGACCAAAAAGCATCGTAGTTTATCACCAATGTTGCTTTGGCTCTGTCTGTTTGTTAAAACATGCGTCAACTCGGGGCATCTTCACGAAGTAGCTGGAATATAAAACCTCAGACTTCGGAGGCTGATATGAAACACAAGGCATAGAGGCTGCACTTGCAGGCAGCTTCACAAAATGAAATGTAATTGTTAACAAATGAGATCAGTCGTTTAACATTTCTTAATGCTAACCATGAGACGTTATGCCATGTGTTGTGTTTGCAGCTGGAGGAAGGGCACACAGGCCGTCTGGAGCGCACTGAGGACCTGTGGCTGCGTGTGAGGAAGGATCACGCCCCTCGGCTGGCCCGCCTGTCTTTGGAGAGCCGCTCCCTGAGGGATGTGCTGCTGCACGGTGAGTCACCACAAAAATACTCCCATTATCCACACACAGCCAAAGTTAAGCTCACAGTGTGCTGCTGCAAAATTGGGCCTTCTTTAAAATGTGTAAATCATAACTTTTGCCCACAGCCATTTGTGTCTCTGGCATTAAATAATGTTTCGACGAGACACCAGACCCACCAGACTGCTGTGTGGTCAAGTTCAGTTGAATTAACAATTCTTAGGATTGTGTCTGCTCCTGATTCCTCAAAGTCACAGAAAAACATTCAGCACATGAATGTAGAAACAGTCAAACTCTGACATATTTCCTCCTGCACAGTAAAGGTCAAACAATATGCGTCAGAACACATTTATAAGGCAGGGAGGTGTCTCGAAAGCTGGGAAATCTGATGTCGGACTGTCAAAGTTCAACTACTCATTGTAATCATTGTAAACAAATGTACACAAACCTGTGATTAGTAAACTTAAGCTTTTTAACTCTACAAGTTCTGCGTACGTCTTCTTTTGCTGTGAGTGACTCCGTTGTTTTGTCACAGGCAAGCCTAAGCTCGGCAAAGAGTTGGGTCGGGGCCAGTATGGAGTTGTGTACTTGTGTGACAGTTGGGGCGGACACTACCCATGTGCTCTGAAGTCAGTGGTACCGCCTGATGACAAACACTGGAACGACCTGGCTTTAGAGTTTCACTACACAAGGTGAGTGCGGAAACCATTACACACGTTTCTCAAGAAAGATCACACAAAACAGACGCAGGTACAAAATGCAGCACTAGCCACAGCTGGCAGCATTGTTCTGATTCTCAAGAGGTGTGTGTGTGTGTGTTTCAGAGGCAGAACTCCACCCAGGTTATAAAAACATTATTGTGACTGTTGAAGCCTCGAGGCTCTTCTGCTGCTCGTCAGCGTGTAGTTAAAAGTGACAGTGTGTTATGAATGCTCGTCTGCTCCATCTGCCATTAATCTGAGGAATGCAGAACTTTCTAAAACTTTGCCGGGGCAGCCTTAATGTGAACGAACAGGACTCATTTCAGGATAACTGAATAATCCACGGTTGAGTGACTGAAGTGTTTTTGTTTTGGGTGTGTGCTGCTTCAGGTCCCTGCCCAAGCACGAGCGGCTGGTCGACCTGCACGGCTCTGTGATCGATCACACGTACGGAGGCGGATCCAGCATCGCCGTGCTGCTCATCATGGAGCGGCTGCACAGAGACCTCTACGCCGGCCTGAAGGTGACCTGATGAAGCAGCGAGGAGCGATGGACTTGTTTTACAAGAACACCGTTGTAATCTTCCATCTTGCTCTTCTCCACCAGGCTGGTTTATCGCTACGGGAGAGACTTCAGATTGCTCTGGATGTGGTGGAGGGGATCCGTTTCCTGCACGGTCAAGGTCTCTTACACAGAGACATAAAGCTAAAAAATGTTCTGGTAAGTTCAGACCAGCGACCAGTTCTGGAGTCAGTGACAACACCTAGTATCATCGCTGGTAGGATGGACTGATGCATCACTAAACTGTTGATATTACTCGACATAAACCTCTTAAAAATCTAAATATCTACTGTTATTGTGGACTAACATCACCTGTCAAATAAACCATGTGGTCTGTTAAATACAGTTTATTATCATACCCTCAGTCCAGGATGGAGTTATGACTGTATCCGGGTTATTCCAGGAAGCGGGCTTCAAGATTAACGTATCGAAGTGTCCGCAGCGATAGAGCACTCAGGAAATTGTGTCTGTGTGACGAAAAACATGGGTTTAAAGCCAAAATGGGAATGTTTTCACAAGACCAACGGGACAGTTTCTGTGAAGATCAAGAAAGGTTTATTCAAACGGAGCTTTATGGTTTTGCTTCAGTGACATTTCACCTTTGTCGATATGAAAGCCTGCCCATCAGTGAGAGTTGTTTCCTTAAATCAGAGGGTCTACAGAGGATGAACTTATCCTGATTCACTAGCTGTTAATAACTCAGTGATCAGATCTCAGGTGAGCAGGTAGCTGACAAACACCAACACGTTGCCTTCTGCGGCTGATAATCTGCCACAGCTGACCGACGCTCGGCCCGTGAGCCGTGACCGACCGCGACTTTAAACAGGCGAAAGTTGTTCCTGAAATCATCGTTGGGGAATTTCATTATGACAAAAACCAGGATCATGACTTTATTCTATGACAGTAAACGGGCTGTTTTACTGGAGGCTGTACAGGAAGTGATTCAGGACTTTGATATTTTCTGATTATAAACGGGATATTCTGTAAAGCGGTGTGACATTAAGTGGGCAGCACTGTGTCTGCATGTTACTCATGTGCTTTATTAAGATTCAGTCAGCTGGGATGATGGGGAACAATCAGCATCTGCCTCAGAACAGTAAAAGCCGACACGACTCCATCAGTGTTCTGTTTGTAAAAGCACAAACTTTAATGGAAAAAAGTTTTTATTTCATATACCGACTGGATCACTTGAGCTCAGCCACTGGCCAAGATGCAGAAAACCGTTTATTTTGTGTCTAGAGTCTCGAGCGAATGTCATTTCTTACCATCAGAAATTGATTGCAGTGAATCATTTACATGAAATAATACAGCATTGTTGTTGTTGTTGTTTTTTTTCCATTATCGTAAATTAAATTGCTGATGTGATACGATGTGTCAGAGCGCCGCCCCTCCTGGTTTTTACGGTGCACGGTTGTAATTAAAGAATATATTAGAATTCTTCTGACCAGACAATCTCTCTGCTCTTTCTTTTTTTGCAGCTGGACAAACAAAACCGTGCAAAGATCACCGACCTGGGCTTCTGCAAACCAGAGGCCATGATGTCGGGCAGCATCGTGGGAACTCCCATCCACATGGCTCCGGAGCTGTTCACAGGTCCGACCGCTGAACACACGCTTGATGCTTACATCACAGAAGAACTCAAAAACCTGCTCACACTCTTTGTTTGCTGAGGAGGACAGGACTGCTGTGTGATCTTTGACGTGCATAGTTTCATGAGAACAGGATTTTGTAATTACAGCTTATTTGCAGGAATGTCGCACATCAGTCCCTTCAGCTTTTGTCTCTGCTCCGACTCTTCTCCCGACAGGAAAGTATGACAACTCCGTCGACGTCTACGCCTTCGGGATCCTTTTCTGGTACCTGTGCACCGGTTCGGTGAAGCTTCCAGAAGCTTTTGAGAAATGCTCCAGCAAGGACCAGCTCTGGAACAATGTTAAGAAAGGTACGAGGCACTGAGGTCGGTTCATACATGTCTCTGTCTGGAGCCTCGTCAGGGATTCATTTATGTTCTGTGGTGTCCTGGATTCAGGACGAGCACAAAGCTTCTTCGAGGGTTCATGGCTGACAGATTCACGAGTGTAGCCTGACGAATCACACATCTGCTGAGACAGAACACGCTGATTAATCCGTTTGCTCTGATGAATTGGAACTAAACGAGCAAATGCATCAGAATTAGTTTGAACAGAACAAACCGGGTGAGGTGTCAAATCACGGCCGCTCTTGTTTCTGTGGCGCAGATCCTAAATGACGAACAGAATGTACTTGAGGTACAAAAAAGGCCTGTTGTCACCTGTCTGAGGAGCCGCTGCTGTCTGTTGGCTCTTTGCATTTCTGTCGACTTGCAGACGCTCACTCGTGTCCGTGTCGCCCGCAGGTGCCCGACCAGAGCGACTGGCCACCTTCGATGAGGAGTGCTGGCAGCTGATGGAGATCTGCTGGAACGGGGACCCTTCCAAGAGACCCCTGCTCGGCATCGTGGAGCCCAGCCTGCAAAGCATCATGGACCGGCTCTGCAACTGCAGCTCCGAGCAGAAAAGCAGCAGCCTGGAGGACTCAAACTGAAAACACTTCAAACTAACACGTGCACGATAGGAATTCTGATCACAAGCGTTTTGGTCGTATTTATGAAGAAACAGAGCTGAACAAAGTATTCCTGAGAAGCGGGCGGCCGGTGAAAGTGTCCTCCTTGTTCACGCTTGTTGGATTCACGTTATTTATGAGGAGCTGATGCAGACCAGAAGTTTTGCAAATATGTGTGTTTTATTGTTTGTGCTTTGTTTATTTGTATACAAAACTCTACAACATGCTTTCGTCGTAGCTGCAGTGCTAATTGCTACCTTGTCATAGAGATGTTGTTACTAGATGCAAATTGTTTTAAAACATAGTCCGTCCCCAGTATTATGAAAAAAATATATAAAAGATTAATTTTAGATTGTATTTAAACTGAACATGTCTGTATCTACACAAATGCGTCTTTTTTTAATAAAAGGATCTGTTACAACGAGGTCGAGTTGGGATTTCTAAATCCAATAGTAACGGTGTCGGTGTTTCCTGGAGGATCCTGTGTTGCATGTTGGTGTTTTATTCAGGCTTCCTCTAGTAAAGCTGGAGCATTTGAAACTTCTTCTACAGTAGAAGTGCAGTTCTTCTAAATCATCCAACACCTAAAGGTAATTTACTAAATAACACATTGCTAATTAAATGTATAATATTTTTATTTATTATTATATGTTGTTAAATGTCTTTTTTTTAACCTTTAAGGACTCGTTGATACATCCCAGATCAGATTATATTTTAGGCATGTGTTGAATGAGTATTTTTCTCTTGCAGAAGCAGCAGAAGCTCAGCAGCCTGGCAGGAAGCAGCGTCAGCACCACCTAGTGAGTGTTTTGTGTCTTGTTCCTCTTCGGTTGTGTTGTTTGGACTCTCATGGATCGCTCACGACATGAAATCCTGCTCAAATGTAAGCAGAATAAATCCTGCTTTTAAAAATGACGCCCTCACCTAAAACTTAGCCTGATCAGTTTAAAAAATAAACCTAAAATGTCTGTTTTGTTGGTGTTGAAAGCACTGGCAGCTACAGAAACAGTCCATAATATTTTTCCTTCACATCACGTGTGACTGAGAAGTCACCTTTTATCTGATCAGTAATACTTCCATCCTACTATCAGGATATTTTGAGTGATTTTTTTTATTCCAGATTTGCCTAAAATTTATCACCATGACCAGATATTGTCGTAATAATATTCTATTAAAACAAATCTTGTTCGGTAGCTTCATGATAGTCGGTTAATGAAGTCTAATGATCAGAAGACTCTGATTAATGCGTCACTTCACGACTTGATGGAAAGACATCACATGTGAGACACAGTAGATGTGTGGACGTAGATCAGATATTCTGCTGCTGTTCTGCTCTTATCAAACCACGATGGTGATATCATGTGGTTCAGAGACGACATTAATGATGGAACCAGTGGAACAAGCCGGACTGTTGGGTTTCTCCTGTGCAGACAGTCAGGCTCTTCTCATCCGGCTCTTAGACAAGAAAACAAAAAGCAAAGTTCCTAAAATGTCGAATTCTTTATACTTAGAAATGAGCAGCTGTGGGTCAGACTGAAGTGAATCAGAAATGTCACTCCATCAAAACCAGTCCTTCAGAATCTGCTCATGTTTCTTTGGGGATTTGAACCCGGTTGTAATTCATCTGTATTTCTCTAATTGCTATTAAATGGACATAATAAGACCTATGAATCCAACCTGTATGACACGTTACTACAGTTCAGTGTTTAGAAGCCATAATTAATTCATATATTATCACTGCTGCAACAACAGTGTCCAAACTTGCCATCAAACTTTATTTTGATCTCATGTGGCTTGTTGAAATGGTTGATGACCTCTGAGAAACCTGAAAAAAATTCTTTTTACTCACACATCTTACATGTTGTATATGCAGTCGTCCTCAAACGTATTCATTACCTTCTATTAAAGAAAAGCAAAAATTCACAATTAAATACCTGGAAACTGAGAAAAGTAATAATAAATAAAAATTTGCTAAATTCAAATTTAGAGAAATAAGAAGTTGCTTTGAATTGTGGTTGAAAAGAATAATTGAAAAAATGAGAAAACAAAAACTGACCCGGACAAATCAGAGTACTTTGCTGATGAGCAGTGAAATCCGAATACCTGTCAACAGGTGCAGAAGTCTGATTTGCTTGTTTTTTGTATTTTTAAGAAGACAAATACATTTCTGTTGAACCACAATTCAAAAGCAACATCATGATTTTCATTACATTTTTATTCATTATTACTTTTGTCAATTTCAACTTATTTCAGTGACTGAAGCTGTTTTTTTTCTTCTTTAATGGGAGGCTATGAAGACATCTGAGGACGACTGCATGTATAAAACCTGTCAAACCTCTCTCATGCCTGACAAAGCAACAGTCAATACAAAGCTAACTTAGCTTAGCATAAAGACTGTTAAAAAGCTGGTCGGATTCTAGCCAAAGTCACTTAACCGTCTACTGGCACTTCTGAAACTGACTAATGCTGGAAGCTACAGTCGTCCTCAGATGTATTCACAGCCTCCCATTGATGAAGAAAAAAAACAGCTGAAATTGACAAAAGTAATAATAAATAAAAATGTAATTAAAATCATGACGTTGCTTTTGAATTGTGGTTCAACAGAAATATTTAAAAAACAAAACCAGGCAAACCAGCATGATTGGACCCATGAACTAATATTTAGTTGAACAACCCTCTGAGCCAATCACTGCCATCAGGTGTTTCCTGTAACTCTCAGTCAGACTTCTGCACCTGTTGACAGGTATTCTGGACCACTGCTCATCAGCAAAGTGCTCTGATTTGTCCAGGACAGTTTTGTTTTTTAAAATTATTCTTTTCAATCACAATTCAAAAGCAACGTCTTATTTCACTAGATTATAATTTAGCAAATTTTTATTTATTATTTTTTTTTATTATTTCTTTTTTCAGTTTCTTGTTATTTGTGAATTTTGCCTTTTCTTTAATGGAAGGGGATGAATACATGTGAGGACGACTATTTCTCGGCTCTGGGCTGAAACTGCAACCCCGACACAAAACCCTCCAGTGAAATGGCAAATTGTCATTTTGACGTTTCTCAATAAGATTTAAAAATGAAAAAGCATTCATGTGTGTCAGAGGTGATGGTACACAGATTTGAGCGTCATAAACCTCCTCCTGAAGTCGTGTCAGACAAACAAACTCTTGCTTTAAGTGTCAGTAAACAAGCTTTACAGCAAATATGTGATTATTCCACTTGTACAGGAGCATCTTGATGTCAGCTGTGCTGTGAAATACATTAAACAGGGAACAAAAAAAACCCAAAAAGCTTTTTGAATTGGCACTAATAGAAAACTTGAGGTAAGATGGAAATGGTAGAAAACACTTTAATCAGTAAAAACAGGAGCGGCAGAGTAAAAGAGACAATCCTCTGTTTGGACGCCAGGGTTAGAACTCCGTGATTGACTTGGTCGTGTTGATTCTTATGGCATAAAATATTTACATTAAACTCACATGGGTGGTAAAAAATGGCAAATATGACATCAGTCTGACTTCGAAGTAGTAACTTGTAAAAGGTGTTTCCTCCCGAGTGATTCCTAAAAACAACTTCTGAACGCGTGTTGGAAGTTTACATATTTACTTACATTTAAAGGTTCGCTCTCGATTCATTTACAGGCCGCTCTGTACAGTAGAAATGGATTACAGCTCGGATAGTATTACAGCACAAATTTGCATGTATTTAATTATTTTTTACAAAAGACAAAAGCTCTGTTTGCTAATCTATAAAATACGGCTGTTTAGTCACTGAACTCCCACGAATGCCTTCATCCCTCAGATACGATGATGGAAAAAAAAAAAAACCACGAGAGCGATTGTAACGTCCGTAAAAAATGTGCTCTCGGTCATTTACAAAAACAAAAAGAAGATGTATCAAAAGTCCTTTGAGTCCTCTTTAGGTCTGCACATGCAGGTTGATTCGCCTCCAGAAGCGTCCTTCATGGATGAGAAATAGCTTATATGGAGCATCCAGGCAGCGATTCCCTTTCAAGTCCGAGCCTCTGCCTCTCGCCGTGGACGTTTTCAGACGCGTGACGTGATTCTGAACTCCTCAGACCTTACGACTGGCACCAAAAGCAGGCAAACCGGAAAGACTTTACAAAAAAAAAAAACAGTTATGCATGAAAAAGAAATTTCCCTGAATGTTTGCAAGTCTACAGCTAAATGGCCCACCCGGAAAGCATGACCTCTGTATTGTTCCACAGTCTTCCAAACAATATATATATCCTGGAACAAAACAAAACAAAAACTACAAAATAAAAGTCAACCACCAACAAAAAATCTGGGCAGTAAATTAAAAAAAAAAAAAAAAAAAAAGTGCATTGCTTCAAGTATGTAAACAAAAGGATTTCTTTAAAGGGAGACTCGGTCCGTGGGTGTCGTGAGCTCGTCCAGTGCAGTGACTCCTGAGGTTTGGCACACATGTATGAACTCACACACACACACAGACACACACACACACACGGACGGACGGACGGACAGTACGACATGCACACACTCCTCCAGAGGGTCATGACGATGAAGGGGGAGTTCCTTCTTTTTCCACTTGTTCTTTTTTTGTTTGTTTTCTCGAAGGGGACGTCCGCTGCTCCTCGTTTGCAGTCACTGTTGAGGAAGGAGGCTCTATGACCTGCAAAGACACACCCCTCCGTCAGCGAGGTCACATGGAGGTGTTGCAGTGGCTGCTGGGAAAACAGGATGCGGCGAGGAGGAGGATAGATGGATGGATGGATGGATGGACGGATGGATGAAGAGGCAAGTGTCGGAGACAAATGCAGCACAACACAAGAAAGAATAGAAAAATAGATGAAAAATTAAGTATGTGAGGCAATGAAAGGCGTCCACGCAGACACACACACAGACACACACACACACACACACACACACACGAGCTGTGAGAGGTGACGGATGCTAAAACGATGCGCCGGTCTGAAGACAGTGATCCTGATTGTGTCTGAATGAGGATCAGAGCTTCATGGGATAAAATTAAAGAATAAAAATCTATGGTTTTTGGAAAGAGAAAAAGGGGCAAAGAAGGTTGATTAGTAAAACTACATCTTAAATGTTTTTACTCTAAATCAGACTTTATGTATTTGAAGAACTTGAAAGCACACTTTGATGAATACATTTGTACGCGTTGTGTCCTGCAAAGTCAATCTGTGGTTGAAGTCCAAAAAATACGTCCTATGACAGGGGTGTCCAGTCCTGGTCCTGGAGGGCCACAGTCCTGCATGTTTTAGATGTTTCCAACACGCCTGATTCAAATGATCAGGATCGTCATCAGGCTTCTGCAGGACTGTGGCCCTCCAGGACCAGGATTGGACGCCCCTGTCCTATGATTATCACCCCAAATGCTTTTGCTGGATCCTGATGGAAAACATCAACAGGTTTAGCAAAGACGTGAAGGATA